TTGACCCAATTATTTACATAAGTGCAGCAAGAATAGCCATTGATCATATAGGCTCTTTTAAATCTGCTTTGCTGGAACTTTTTATAAGGAATCTGAGATTGAACTTTAAAGGCTTCTCAAGGCCAGGAAAGCCAAGCCAAAGACTTGCCATCAGATTTTGCCTGTAATACCTACAGATTTGGGTGGATTCTTCTCAAAGTCCTCAAAAATATTTCGAGGTTCCAGGCACCTGCCAGATAAGTTAGCTTCCTTACTTACCGGGTAATATTGCTGGAATCTCTGTAAACAAGGTACCAGGCCAATATTTCCAAGTGGCTTTATTCCAGAAAGTCCAATCTTTGTTCCCAAAGAGCTGTCTTGTCATATCTGAGCCTATATGTTTCTCTCAAAAATGTCATTCCAGTCAAAGCCTTGGTAATATAACCAACGTTTCCTATTGTGTCCTGTTATAAGGAGAATAGATTCTTACTGAACTTATGCAAATGCCATATTGCCATGAAAATAACTATACTTACTAAGAGTTTCCAAATTCTGGAGGGATCAGGTAGGGAGAAAAAAGATAAATGTTTCAATTTTGCTTACAAAGGTATAATTTCACCAAATTGCTATAAGTCATAATTAGCGTAAGAGAAAAAAGATTTCCTTTAACCTGACAGAACCAAACAAAACATCAAAAATCAGCAATATCTCAAATGAAAAGCCACAAATTATAATCATCCTCAGCTTCATTCAGTCCTGTGTAATTGATTCTTGCCCTTAATCTTATGGTAGCAGTTTTTTGAGGTCATCGGTTTCTCTTCTGCCTCCTCACCGCCCTGGGCTTCCCTGCGTGGCCCTGTGTGATGTGCTCTGCCTCTTGTTTCTAGGAACCTGTGAGTATAGACCTCTTCGTTCTTCATGACAGTCATTTCCAGGTCTGTGCGTCTTACCATACCAGGTTAACCAATTCCTGGGCACATTTTAGAACATGCAGGGAGCATATTAAAACCTCCTTCCAAGGGCCTTGAGGTTCTACACAATTTGTCTCCATTTCTTTCTGACTCATCTCGTCCCAATGTAACCCCCGCAGATGCAGCTCCAGCGACAGCAGGCTTCTCGCTTTTCCTCAAACCCCCAGTGCTCTCCACTTTAGTTCCTCGTCCTAGGCGTTCTCTGTGTGAGACGCTGTTCCCTCAGATACCCACTTCGTGACTCTTTCACTCCTCAAAGTCTGTGCTCAGATGTAAATGTCTTATCAGGCCTGTCCCAGCCACGTTACTCAATATTGCAAAATAGCTCTCATTCCACTCTCCCACTAAGTCTTACCTGCTCTACTTTTTCTTATCTCCATAGTACTACCTCCTTTTAACCTTCTGTATTGTTTAGTTTTGTTGTTATTCTTTTTAAATTATTGGTTGTTAGGATGAAAGATCCTCAAGAATAGGAATATACTCTTTTTTGCATTGTTTAGAGAGGTGCCTGTCAAAAGATAGGCACTCAATAAATACTCATTGAATTAGTTAACAGGTAAATAAATATCCATAAACATAGTTTCAAATGGTTATGAGTGACAAAAGAGAAATACAACAGAGTGATGTTGGGGCGGAGGACTGCTTTAAAGTGAGGCGTCTGGGAAGGCGTCTTTGAGGAGGCAATGGTTCACAAGCGGAGTCCCGTCAGCTTGGACTACGTCTACAAGCCGGGTGGCAGCGACTCAGCACGGTATCCTTCACAGCACCTTGCAAAGTGTCTTCCCTCAGCTTCTCTAGGAAGTATTTGCAGAGTGAATGTTGAGTGGATTTTACCATGAGGCTACTAAATGCCCTGGGTCTCTTAGGACCCTTGTTAGGACTGTTGGGTCAAACTTGGCTGTTTATCCTCTAGTTCCCTGTCTCTGCTCCCAGAAACTAGTCTGTGGCTCCCGGGTAGGGGGCGTCTTCAGTTTCAGGGTGAGAGCTGTGGTTTGGGATTAAGATATGTTTGTGCTCCTGGTTCCATGAGAACAAGAGAGATTCTACAAGGAATGGAAGGAGGAGCTGACTGGAGCAGACACCTGGTAGAGGATGAGTCCCCCTTAAGTGACACTGGGGATGAACAGGATGCAGTAGTTTACAGAATTCCAGGCTCAGCACCCATTTATCACATTCCCTGCCAGAAGGAACCTGGGAGTTGGTGAGTTTTTCCGCCCACAGAGACCATTCATGGAGTTTGAGGAGAGAGCTCAGAATTATATTACTTTCAACAATGCTCTGGGGTGAATTGCTCCACAGGCTAAACCAAAAATATTCGGGCTTCTGGGGTTCCCATGGTGTTTGATATTCATTCTGCCCCAGGCAGGCTACTCCCAACTGCCTCTTCTCAGCTTCTCTGCTTCTCCCCTCCGAGGCAAAATTACCGAGCCAGAGCTCAGGAACTAGGAGTGGGGACAGTGGCCCACTTCTCTCTGACACCCCAATTTAGGAGCTGAGGGATCATGGAGTAGGGGTGTCAGTACCCTCAAGTCTTTTCAACTACCCTCTCCTAGCGTGGAAACACTTCATTTTGGCAAGAGTGATAGGGTCCTGGTGTTCTCAGCAGCATGGTGCCCCAGGTAGGGCCTCCATCCCAGAAGTGCTGGCTGGATGGAAGAAGGGAGCCCCACCCTGGGACAATCCTGGTCAGGAATTTAACCTTAGCAACAAATAACTGGGGGCAGGATGAGAAATGCTGATCTCCTGCCCCTTCTGGGAAGATATCTCTCCAACTGGGAGTTGGGAGTGAGTGATCCTTGTGTTCTCGCCTGTACCACTGTGTAGTGAATCTTCTATCTCGCTGAATCGGGAGGCTTGAGGGAGAGTGAGCGCCTCAGTTCAAATACTGCAGACTCTCACTGTTCCTACGGAATTATCGATTATCTCGAATAAATGTTCTTCATTTGCTGTATATCCTTAGGAACATTTCCAGAGACATTAACATTTTTTGTTTTTGTTTGGTTGTTAATAATTTTCACCAGTTTCGCTGAGAAGTGAGTCCACAAAACTCCCCACATTGTTAAGCCAAAAGTCCCTCCTTGCTCTGTTTTAGTTTAATTTAAAAATTTTTAAACACTTTTAGATTTACTGTAAAGTGACAAAGATAGCATAGAGAGTTCCCATATAACCTCTACTCAGCTTCACCTCATGTTACTATCTTACAGATCTATGGCACATTTGTCAAAGCTAAGAAATTTACATTGATATAATACTGTTAAGTAAACTACAGGCACTATTTGGATTTCACCATTTTTTCCCCACTAATATCCTGTTGCAGGATCCCATCCAGGACACCAAGTCGCATTTAATCATCCTATCTCTTTAGTCTTCTCTCATCTCTGACAGTTGCTCTGTCGTGTCATTATTATTATTATATGTTTCAAGTGTACAGCATTATAATTCAACATCGGTATACACTACAAAGTGCTCACCACCACAAGTCTAGGAACCATTCATCACCATACAATGGACCCCCTTCAGCCGTTTCGCCCACTCCCAAACCCCTTTCCTCTCTGGTAACCACTAATCTATTGTATTTATGAGGTTTTATTTTATTTTATTTTGTTTGGCTCTGTCATTTCTTGTTTTTCTTCATTCAAACACTTTTGATGAGTACTTACCAGGTATTTTTATACAATGTCCCTCAATCTCATTGATCCCTTTTCATGAGTGGAGTTGTGGGTTTTGGGGAAGGACATTACAGTGGTGAACTGTCCTTGTTGAACCATACCATGTGGTGCATGATGTCAACATGACATCACTAATGACGCTGATCTTGATCACTTGGTTAGGGTGGTGACTGTCAGTTTCCTCCACTGTCAAGTTACTGTTTTTCTCTTTCCATTGATAAACAAATGGCAAGCAATAGGATATAACCACTCTGTACACCCCCACTTCTATGGAGTGCTCCGTTCCTTTGTGGAAGGACTGTCCCGGGCTATACGGTCCTCAAATCTGGCTCATAATAAACTCACCTCAATTTTGATTTATAGATTGGTTATGGATTATTTGCGTCAACACCCCACTTAGTCACTAAGTCCAGCCAATTCAAGGGAAAAGGAATCAAGCTCCACCATGTGAAGTAGGAGTATCTGTGTCTCACTTGGAACTCTTCTTCAGGAAGATGTCTTATCCTCCTTTTTTTATTTACACGAGAGCACTACTATTGTCCTTATTTTTAAAAAGTCAAATAGCAGTACTTATAAGAACTATGCGTGTTGTAATTCCCATTTTATACACGTGAGGGGGGTGAGAAAAGGAAGGTCAATTTCTTTGTGATGTATTTAGTAATCATCTGTGACAAGACAGCAGGTCAAATGCACACCATTTCCATTTTTGTAACTGTGTGTTTCCTCAATTCATTGGAAGCTGGATTTTAACTTTCTCACCTTCATAGTTGTGAGAAGAAAAAAAAGTCCCGGATGGTGACTTCTAAGACATTTCTCAATATAATTCTAGAAGGAATGTTACAATTCCTAACATAACTTTGTTCCTTTCTTCTCTGCGAGTTAGTGTTGGGTTGGTTCAGGGTTAACCCCCGTCCATTCCGTTCTCCATCTCCTCATTCTTTTGTTGGTCTCACCCAGTATCAAGACTTGAAAGTGCACGCTAACAACCCAAACTCATATATCCAGGCCCGAACCCTCTCCCAGTGTTCAAACAGGCTGAAGTGCATACAAGACACACACGCTGTGTGATCTTTTGTTTGTTTCAAAGATTTTATTTTTTCCTTTTTCTCCCCAAAGCCCCCCGGTACATAGTTGTATATTCTTCGTTGTGGCATGTGGGACTCTGCCTCAGCGTGGTCTGATGAGCAGTGCCATGTCCGCGCCCAGGACTGGAACCAACAAAACACTGGGCCGCCTGCAGCGGAGCGCGCAAACTTAACCACTCGGCCACAGGGCCAGCCCCACGCTGTGTGATCTTATAGACATTTCAAACGGACCATGCTCGAGACTGGAGTCCTGAGCTTCCTCCAAGTCGCCCCTACTTGCTGCCTCCCCACCTCAGGGGATGGCAAATCCACTCCTGCGGTGCTCCGGGCCAACTCCATCACTCAGGAATCCGTGCACGGCGTGGAGGCGGCTCTGGGTCACAGAAGGCCCAAGAGAGGCGGGTGCGTGGGTGCACGCCGCGCGGGAGGGAGACTTCCGGCGCCCTCCTCTGGCGGGTATTCTGACGGCTCATTCACCAGCATCCCCATAAGAGGATGCGGGGCGGAGACCACGCGCAAGGGAGTCCCAAGCCCAGCCGGGCCGGTTCCGCCCCTTTGCACTTGCCCCGACCCCGGGCGAAGGTGCCCGCCTCCTGAGCCTCGATTTCCCCGCGCGTAGAACGCACGGTCTCGCCCCCCCTTCGTTCCCCCGAATTGTTCCGACTGCGAAAAGGCGGGATGACACGGCGTTCGGGTCCTCGTGCGCACTTCAGCGGGAGAACACAGGCTCCGAAAGTTAACCCCTGCCGGTGGCTTGTAGGGGAAAAAAACTACACTACCCAGAAGGCTGTGCACCGGGTGTCTGCCGCGGGCTCTGGGCCAATGACGGCCCAGGACAGGAGCGTTTCCTGCGGCCCAGGCCGGCGGGGGCGGGCTTCCGGCCCTCCGATTGGTACGTCGTCTGCCTGTGCCGGGCCGGCCCTCCCCGCCTGTGGGGCCGTGGGAGAAGTGCCGGGGGCGTTCCCCAGGCCCGAGCAGGGAGGGGCGGCGAGGAAGGCGGGGTCCGCCTCTGCGTCTTTGCACGGGCCCGACACCCGGCCGCGTCCTCCGTGACGGGGGTGTCCCGTGAGCGCCCCCAGGGGCCCTGGCCTCTGTCCCCTGACGCGACGCCCTGGGTCTGGTGCGCCTTTCACGCCGGGGAAACGGAAGCTCGGAGGGCGACAGTCAGCCGAGGCCACCCCGCTCTGGGTACGGGGGTGGGGGGAGTGGCGGTCGGCTGAATCCTGAAGCCGCGTCTGTCGCCGCCGCTCCGGGCCCCGCGCTCTCCACGGGGGGCCATGATGGCGACGCCGTGGAGTGACCCGGCGCGGGTGAGTGGACGGCGTTTTCGGCATTGCCGCCTCTCTCCTGGTTCGGGGCGGGCTCCTGTGCGGGCTAGAGGCCAGCTGAGCCCCTCGATTTCTTTCTGTCCTTATCGTTTGTTCCCAGCAAGTGGCGCCGGGCTGTCCCTATCCGCAGTGCTGCAGCAGTGTCGGGTCTCTGGCGGGTGTTCAGTCGGTGCGGGAAGGATGAATGAAGCTTCCCTCCAAGGCCCGCGCCGCCGAGGCCTGCAGGTCCGGTCCCCCGCCCCCGCCCCCTGCCCCCGCCCCCTCTTCTGACCGTCCTTCTTCCCTGGCTCACGGGTCTTCAGACAAAGCCAGCTGGCCGTGCTCGGTTCCCTCTCATGCCCAGCCTTGGTCTTTGCGCTGGCCTCTGCCTGGGACGCTGTCCGTGTGTCTTCGCAGGGCCTCCCTCTCACATTCTGCTGACCTCCGCTCAGATGTCACCCATTTGGAGAGGCCTTTCCTGGCAGTTCAGGCTAAAATGACCCCTTCCCGGCTTGCTCATTCTCTGGCATTTCTGTGTAGGAAACCTGGCAACATTAAATAAGGGGGCATCGTGGAATCTGCCCAGGATGTTGTGGGAACAAAGAAGAAACAGTAATAAAAGAACCATAATAGCTGGCCTTCATTGAGTCCTTGCTGTGGGCTGACAGGCAGGCGTAATGTGTCACTTCGTTTAATCCTCGGCTCCTCAGAGTTAAGTTCTGGTACTATTACTGTTTTGCAGAAGTACGGCTTGAGACTTAGAGAGATTCAGTTACCTGGCCAAGTTCGCTGCAGCTCTTAAGCAGCAGAAGCTGACAACCAGTGTTTCACCACCACAACCTGTGTTTTTACCCTCATCTCCCTGAACAGTGGATAGGGAGGCCTGCGGGTGACACCTAAGGTAAACTCTGCAAGCAGAGTGGGCTTCCTTCCAGTGGTGGTCTTGGGCACCAGTGGGCGACGTGGTATTTCAGCAGGTGGAAATGTGTGGACAGAAAAAAGGTATATTGGTTGTTTAAGGGGTCCCCAGAGGACCTGTGGAGTTGCCATGGTTGCCCTCCCCTCCCATGTGCTGAGACATGTCCTAGGACGGCCAGACTGTGTGTCATTTGCTGAATGTTCCATCCTGCTCAGCCAGAACAGAAATGTGGCCAGTCGGAGGCCATTATTCTCATGGCCCAGCCTGCATTGTCCTCGGCAAGTCCTGTTTCCTAGTCCTGAAGTAGTCTGTCCTCAGGGATACGTGTTGTCAGGACTGAGGTAGGAAAAAGAAGTAATGGCTCCTTGTGGATTCTCCGAGGTGCAGAAGGTGACAGGAGCTGGTCCAGGCCCTGCCACTTCCCAAGCAGGTGCCAGCAACTCAGGTGACTGTCCTCCAAGGTGGGTGATAATGAGCCAGCTCCTCTGCCCATGTCTACAGAAATGTTTCCAGTGGTGGCAGAAATGAATGTAACTGCAAAATTTAGTTGAAATGCTTCATGTCTTTGGTAACTGTAGTTTTACTTTGCTAACTAATGGAGGAGTGTCGGCACTATGAAATTAGCCTCTAGACCAGAGGGAACTGAATTCAGATGCCGTCTCTGCTCAGAACACATGTAAACTTTGGGTGAACTGGTAGAGCTCCCTGGACTTCAGGTTCCCTACTGACGTGAAGATGATGGTGGTGTTGACCTCACGTGCTATGACCAGTCACCCTAGTGTTTCTTTTACAAGTATTTTTTCTTTAATTCTCATAACTATTATTGCTGAGTGAGAATTATTGTATTGATCCAGAAATCGACGTTCAGGAAATGAAGTGAGATCTCCAAGTTCACATAGCAGGCAAGTGTTGATTTTAATATTTTGGATTCAAGCCTCAGGAGTATGACTTCAGAGCTGGGAACTTTCAATCTCTTTAACACGACATGTAAAGCCCTCAGCACAAGGCTGGCACACAGTGAGGACCAATGAGTCTCAGGCGCTGTTGCTGTAATTACTGTATTGTTTTCATTATCATTATTATTCTTTCCTTTCATCTGACATGTTAGAGTCCTTACCATTCTGTCCCACACAGGATGGTGCTGACCGTGTCGTTCTCCATTGGCTCCTGCATAGGAGGCTTCTGTTCCCTACTCTGCTGTAATCAGTGCAAAGCAGTGTCCGCCTCCTGGAGCTTAGCACGGAGCTCAGTCCTTGGGAGGTGTTTGGTCTCATTGCACCTTCACCATCGAGAGAGACGGTCTTTGTTCTCATCCAACAGCCCTACGACCAACACTACTACCTCTCTTTGACTTTCCAGATGTCTGTGACCTTTGAGGATGTGGCCGTGACTTTTACCCAGGAGGAGTGGGGGCAGTTGGAGCCCACCCAGAGGACCCTGTACCAGGAGGTGATGCTGGAGACCTGCGGGCTCCTGGTCTCTCTGGGTAAGGCGTGCCCAACTCTGCCATGTGGAGGACCTGTCACCTTCTTCATTCCACCCTCTGGCTCCAGGCCTGGCTGCTTCAGAAGGCCTCTGTAGCCTGCCTGCCCTCCTCCCCACAACCTCAGTTGTTTTCTGGACTACCTCTTTCTGCATGGTCTCCTTATGTCTCACTTAGAGAGGGTTGAGCAAGAAATGCGGTTTGCCTTTGGTCACAGCCAAAGGAGAGGGATGTGTTGGGAGGAAATGAGGGTGTCTTGCAGAACCCAGAGGCAGGCATTCCAGCGAGGCTCATTGATGGACTGGTATAGGAACCTAGAGAAGCTCGATTGTGCCCTGGCTTCTGGGTCTCTTGTCCTGGCTTCTCTCTGTGGGTCTGCTCGTGTCACTGTCTTTTCACAATGTTTTTTTTCGCCACACTTATTTTGCAGATGGTTGTTGTCACTTAGTTCTGCCTCTCTGAGGCCCACGCATTCCTTGCCTCTACTTCTTTCTGTATGTCTATATTGTCTCTATTCATGCTTCACTCGTTTAATTCTCCCAGCATGCCATCCTCTGCAAGTAAGGAAAATGGGGCTGTTGCAGTGTGTCCCTCATAAAGCTTAATCCGTTCAATTTAAAAGACGCATCTTCAGGGGCTGGCCTGATGGTGGTGTAGTGGTTAAATTCACATGCTCCGCTTCAGTGGCCTGGGGTTCGCAGGTTCAGATCCTGGCCACAGACCTAGCACCACTTGTTGAGCCACGCTGTGGCGGCATCCCACATAAAATAGAGGAAGACTGGCATAGATGTTGGCTCAGTGACAGTCTTCCTCAAGCAAAAAGAGGAAGATTGGCAACGGATGTTAGCTCAGGGCTAATCTTCCTCATACACAAAAAAAAAAAAAAAGAAAAGACACGTCTTCATGTGAAAAGCTCTCTCCTGCATTTTTTGGTAGTGCAAGTTCTTTCTTTTGTAAAATGTTGATAAGAATAGATGCTGTTTGATGTTTATACAAATGTCTCTGTTTGACCAAATCACTGTATGAGAGCTCCAATTTTTTATTTTTAGTGGTTCATGAAATGCTAAAGTCTGATGTCATCAAGTCTGCCCCTCCCTGTGGCCCCTGTTTCCTGGGGATTGAATCCTCCTGCTCACATCTTTCTCACCACCATAGCCCACTTGGTCTGAAGCTGCTGGACCCACACAGGAGCATTGCTGGTCCTCTTTTGTGTAGCACTTGGCAGACATGGGTCTGGTGCCACAGCCCGGATATCCAATCCCCACTCTGCTGCTTGTGAACTGTATATTCCTGAGCAAGTTACTGAACCCCTCTGTACCTCAGGTATCTCATAGATAAAGTGAGGTAATATAGTATCTATTTCACAGGGCTATTGTGAGGGCAAATGGTTTGGAACAATGGGACATTTAGACCATTGGAGCATTTAGACCATTGATGTTCCAAGTGATTATTGATATAGTTGAAGGAATATCTACATATTTGTTACTGTTTTCTATTGGTCATCCTTGTTCTTTGTTCCTATTTTTGTCTTCTGTTCTTTTTCTCGTTTTGCTGTTCAGTTGAGCATTTCATATGATTCCGTTTTCTCTTCTTTCTTAGTGTATGAGTTATAGTTTTTTTTCCCTTACTTTTTTTAGTGGTTGCTCTAGAGTTTGCAATATACATTTACAGCAAAGTCCACTTTCACATAACACTATGTACTACTTCACAGGTAGTGTGAGACTTTATAACAAAATAATCCTAATTCCTCCTTGCTGTTCTTTGTATCATTGCTGTCGTTCATATCACTTCTATATAAGCACAGGTAAGCATGTATATACACCCGCACACACCAGATATATACATAAGTGTACACAGTCGAGTACATTGTTGCTATTATTATTTTGAACACACTGTTATCTCCTAGATAAGTTAAAACAAATAAAAGTTATTTTATCTTCTTATTCCTTCTTTGATATTCCTCTTTTGTTTATGTAGATCCAAGTTTTTGACCTATATCATTTTACTTCTCTCTAAAGAACTTTTAACATTTTTTGTAAGGCAGGTCTGATGCCAACAGATTCCTTTAATTTTTGTTTCTCTGGGAAATTCTTTTTTTTTAAAGATTTGCTTTGCTTTTCTGTTGTTTTTTCTTTTTTCTTTTTTTTCTACTTTTTCTCCCCCAATCCTCCCAGTACCTAGTTGCATATGTTTTAGTTGTGGGTCCTTCTAGTTGTGGCATGTGGGACACTGCCTCAGCATGGCCTGATGAGTTGTGCCATGTCTGTGCCCAGGATTGGAACCAGTGAAACCCTGGGCTACTGAAGCGGAGCGTGCAAACTTAACCACTCGGTCACGGGGCTGGCCCCTCTCTGAGAAATTCTGTATTTCTCCTTCACTTTTGAAGGGTAATTTCACAGGGTACAGAATTTAAGGCTGGTGGGATTTTTCTCTGAACACTCTAAATAGTTCTTTCCACTGTCTTCTTGCTTGTATGATTTCCGAGGAGAAATCAGATATAATTCATGTCTGTGTTCCTCTGTAGGTAAGGTGTCTTTTCCCTCTGTCTTCTTTTGGGACTTTTTTCTTTATCTTTGATTTTCTGTAGTTTTAAAATGACATACCTACCTAGGTGTGGTTTTTTTTGCTTTTGGGGTTTTTTTTGGGCATTTATCCTGCTTGGTGTTCTCTCCACTTCCTGTATCTGTGGTTTGTTGTCTGACATTAATTTGAGGAAATTCTCAGTCATTATTGTTTCAAGTAGTTCTTCTGTTTTGTTGTCTTTTCTCTTTCTGTTATTTTCATTACTTGTATGTTACACCTTTTATAGTTATCCCACAGTCCTTGGATAATCTGTTCTGTTTTTTTCAGGCTTTGTTCTCTTTGCTTTTCTATTTTGGAGGTTTCTGTTGATACATCCTCAAGCTCATAGATTTCTTTCTTCAGCCGTGTGCAGTCTACAGATAAGCCCGTGAAAGGTGTTCTTCAGTGGTTTTGATCTGTAGCATTTCTTTTTGGTTCGTAATTAGGATTTCCATTTCTCTGCTTACTTTGCCCATCTTTTTTTGTGTACTGTCTACTTCATCCATTAGAGCCCTGAGCATGTTGTTTTAAATTCCCAGTCTGATAATTTCAACATCCCTGACATGTCTGGTTCTGATGCTTGTTCTGTCTCTTCAAATTGTGGTTTTTGCCTTTTGGTATGACTTGTAATATTTTCTTGATAGACAGACATGATGTGGTGGGTAAAAGGAGGTGCTGTAAATAGGCCTTTAGTGATGAGGTGGTGAGAGGTGGGGAGAGGGCAAGATGTTCTGTGGTCCTAGGATTAGGGCTGGGCTTTCACTGAGCCACTGCCTCAACTGTAACTGTCACGAATGTTCCTCAGTTTTTTCTCTGCCTGTTAGGTAGGACAAGATGGCTATAGTTGACTGGAGTTGGGTATTTTCCTTCCCCAGGTCAGTTAGGCTCTGATAAAACCCCAGCGGTGTAGGCTCCGGGTAACTAGCCTCTCCTGAAGGCAGGCCTTGTTAAGAACAGAGTGCTGTGGTGTGTTTCAAAATTAGTTCTGTTTCCTTCCCCCTGCCAGAAGCTGAAGGGGCTTTTTCTCTTCTATTTACTGTGTGAATCTGGTTGAGCTCCTGGAGGTAAATCTCATAATACTGTGAGGGCTCCCCCATGACTGTGTCCCCCTGCAGTGTTTTTACTCTCAGCGTTGTTCACACCAAGCCTCTAGCCTTTCATTCATTACATTTCAGATTTGCTATCCTGGCACTGGTTCCATGGCTTTTCTGCTCACAGGTCTCTGCTCCTGTGCCATGACTGCCCATGTTCACTGCCTATCTCTCCAGTCTTGGAGATAGCAGTTTGCCCTGTGTCCTCCCGTCTGTTACTGATCCAAGAAGAGTTGATTTTTTAGTCTGCTCAGCTTTTCACTTGTTAGGATGGAGTGGTGACTTCCAAGCTCCTACATGCAGAACTGAACCCAGAAAGTTCCCTAAATATTAGTTTTTGGCTTACTGTTAGGATTAAAAATCCCATGGCAACATGGCAGACCGATGAAGCACATGAACTCACAAGCCACAGTTAAGTGAAGTCTTCTCAGGAAATGATATTTGAGCTGAGAGCCAAAGAGAGTTGGCTGGATGGAGCAAGATGAGGAGAGAACAGCATTTCAGGTAGAAGGGCTGATGTGTGCAAAGGTCCTGAGGTCAGAGGGGCATGACTCCTGACAGAGCTGAAGGAAGGTCTCATTTATCTTTCCACTGCCCTCTGGCAGACATCAGTGAACATTTTCTTAGCGAGGACTGATGAGTCTGAGCTTTGGTTCAGGATCTGCCAATGAGCTTTCTGTGGGTCCTGGAACCTCTGCCGTTGGTTTCTCTACAGAGTCTTTACCCATATATTTGTCAGTATGTGTTTGCCTACATGACAGACCAGCTCAAACAGTCTTCACCCTGAAGAAATTTATTATCTTGCCTAATAAGAAGTTCAAAGGTGGTGCTGGCTCTCAGGTTGGTGGGTGGCAACCCGGTTATCTGTTTCTTTGCTTCCTCTCCTTGATCCTGATGCTCAGGATGGTTCCCTCACAGAAGTCACAAGATGCTTCAGGATGACAGGAGCTGCAGGCACCTCGTTCATTGCTTCTGGAATAAGGCTTCCTCTTTACTCAGAGTGGCTGGCATAGGTGACCTGCCTGCCTCAGACTACCGATGATCAGGGATGCCATTTGTGAGATGATGGAAACCAGGGCTTTTTAACCTACCGGGCGGGCTGCCATCACCGGGGGTGTGTTTAAAGTCGGCTGATACCCAGGCCTCCCCAAGAGATTTTGTTTGAAGTGGTCTACGGTGGCAGCTAGGCACCCAGGCGTTAGGAGGTGCAGGGAGGTTGAGGCCCCTGACTTGGAGTCATTAGAAAGCATCCTCAGGAAATATGTCTGAGCAGTGCTGGGACTCTATAGGGTAGAGATCAAAGGGAATTGGTGCTGGGGTTTTTGCAGTTCATTTCCAAGTCCCAGCATTTTGTTTGCACGGATGGGAGCAGCTCCATTCCCAGGTCTCCTCCAAATCCTGAAGTCCCAATCTAGAGCGAGGAGTTTCTTCTCACTAAAATCCCCATGTCCTCTTCCTTTCTCTGTGAACAGGCTGTCCTTTACCCAAACCAGAGCTGATCTACCAGTTGGAGCACAGCCCAGAGTTATGGACGTTGAAGAGAGGCCTCTTCCCAAGCTCCTGCACAGGTGGGTGCCAGCAGCTGGCCAGTGGGGGTCACAGCAGCTTGCAGACAGCACGACGACCACAGCGTCTGGAATTTGTGGCAGTTCCCTTGTTGCGGACTTTCTGGAGGCTTGGGGTCCATGGAGCCTTTTAACCTGGGGTCCCTTTGCCCCCTTCCCTCCCCTCCTCCCCATCACACTCTTTCCTGCTCCTGGGGGTATGTAGGTAAGTTCAGGCTCTCAGCTCCAGCTGCTTGGGCTTAAAAAAACAATAGCTGTGACACACAGCAGCCTTGTGGCCCTGAGGAGCTCGCACCTCTTGCTGTGCCTTTGTATATGAGATCAGCCAAGGTAAACCTCACTGACAAGCTGTTTCCAAGTCTTGGTGGCTCAGTGTATGAAAAGTATTTTCCTCACACCAAGGACCATGTGGGTCAGCAGAGAGCTGGGTACCACGCAGTTATTCAGGGACCCAAGTACCTTCTGTCATCAACATGAGACTTTAAGGTGTCCTGGCGTCCTCCAGCTGGCAGAGGGGAAACGACAGAAAATGGAAGATGTCACACTGACTCTCACACACATTATTCCCCTCCCTTTCCACTGACAAGACATTTGGCCTCACTTGGGTGCCTTGGGCTGGGAAATGAGGCTGAGCTGTGTGTCCAAGGAGAGGAGCAAAGTGTTGGGTGAGTGTGGTCTGCTACACTCAGTCTGTTCCTGGAAAATGCTAGTCATAATAGCTTTTGTGTCATTGGGTTGTTTGAGGATGTAATCGATTATCATGAATCTGCTTTGCACTGGGCCTAACCCGTGGTGAGTGGCTCAGCAAAAGTAAGCTATTACTATTATTCACATCATGCTGTTAGTCCTGTTGGGTAATGAGACTCTCTCACATTTCCTTCTGAACTTGAAGGAAGCAAGGCCTTTCCAGCTACACTCTGCATCCCACCCTGTCCCACCTTCTCCCTCCACCCCTCCTCTGGGTGTCAGTCAGAAACTCAGCAGCACTCCCTTGTTCCCTGTCGTCCTGCCCCTCCTGTTTAATAAAAACCTCAAGGTGACAGTTGACCTTCTCTGCCCCACATCTGAACTGCTGAGGCGCTGGGGCCATCATGTGTGGTGATTGGTGCCACCACAGAGTCATGCTGTCTCCCTTCTATTTGTCCCTTGGGCTGCTCAGCCAGCCTGTGTCTTTGATCATCCTCTCCATAGCCCCTCAGAGTCTGTTCCAAACTTTCACCCTTGTCCTGAATCCCACATCTCCTGTGAATGTGGAAAAGGCCCCTCTCGCTCAGTATGCCTGGGAGGAAGCTGATGATCTTTCCTGCTCCTCCCACCTCCCCTGCAGGTTAGAAGGCTGGGTACAGCCCCTGACAGCTCCTCAACACGTCCGTCTCCACCAACTCCTGCATCCAGACAAATCCAACTCATGTCCATCTTACGTGCAAGTCTCTTGACGCCATCACCTCCACCACCCACAGGAGACCCATCCCCAGTCTCTGTCCAGGTTTACATCTTCTACCTGGGTGATGCCAGCACACTCTGAGTGGTCTCCCCACATCTCTTCTGTGGCTCTGATCTGCCCTGTCTTCCACACCAGTTCCTCCAGCCGCTCACATCTGGTTCCAGGCCTTCACTGCTCCCCCAACCACTGATGTCTCCACATGTTTTCATGGCGAAAACACAGTGTACGTCCTTGTGTTGCTTGATCCTCAGCCCTTACACATTCATCTCAATCTCTCACGTGTAGCTTCCCTTCTCGCTGTCCTAGAGGAGGCCTTGCTCTGGACCATGGCCAATTCCCACGCCAGAGTCTAGATCATACGTTTTTAGGGAACTTGCCTCTTCACTTCTTTTCTGCCTCTTCTGCAACTATCCATTGTCTACTCAACAGAAAAATATGCTCAGTTGCCTCACACTTGGGGAAAGTAAATAAAAAATACTTATGCCTCGGGGCTGGCCTGGTGGCCTAAAGGTTAAGTTTGTGCACTCCGCTTTGGTGGCACAGGGTTCACCGATTCAGATCCCAGGCACCAACCTACACACCACTTATCAAGCCATGCTGTGGCAGGAGTCCCAGGTATGAAATAGAGATAAATGGTCACAGATGTTAGTTCAAGGCCAATCTTCCTCAGCAAAAAGAGGAAGATTGGCAGTAGATCTTAGCTCAGGGCTAATCTCCCTCCAAAAAAAAAAAAAAATGCTTATGCCTCTCTAATGACTTCATGCTGTCATTGACTGTACTTTCCCTGTACAATTTATTTTCTTGGAGAACTTGTCTCATTCTTGCAAGAGATGTCTACACTTGTGTTCCATACCTCCCATTGTCTATTATTTTACTTTTGGAACGAAGTGTAACTCATATGCTGTTTTGTGGAGAAATCTTCAGAAGTCAGCCGGATGAATTTTTGTATACGTATAAACCCGTGTAACCACCACCTGGGTCAATATATAGAATATTTCTAGCACCTCATCAGGGTTTCCTGCCCTCAGTAGCCCCTTCTGCTAGGTAAGCCCTATGTAGACTGTCAGCATAGATACAGTTTGACTGTTGAACCCCACAGTATCCTGTCTGTCATATCTGTCTTCTTTTGACCATCATAGTGTCTGTGAGGTTCTTCTCATGTGGTTGTGTACAGTTGGCGTTTGTTCGCTCTTGATAAAGCATAATATCTCATTGTGTGAAAAACTGTGCTCATTTCTCCATTCCCCTCTTGATGGGCATCCCTGTTGTTTTCAACCTAATTCTGCTTGTTATGTTTTTTGGTGTATGTAAGCACTGATTCTGGTTAGGAATATATCCAGGTCTGTGTACAGGTCAAGTTACGGAGTAGGAGTATGTTTAGCTTTAGTAGGAACTGCCAAATTCTTCTGCAGAGCGGCTGCACCTTTTCACATTCCCGGCCTTCAGGGAGGGTCCTCTGCACTACAGCACTCAAATGTTCCTTGTACGTCACTGCTTTGCTCCCCATTTTCAAATACAGCAGCGGCCATAGTAGTAGTTACTGGACTCTGCTGTGGTGTCCAGCACCATGCTGAGCGCTCTACAGGCATTTTCTCATTTAACTCTCGCGACAACCTCTGAGGCAGGAACTGAAAGTTAGGTTTTCAGACAAGGAAATTGAGACAGGATTGGCTGAGTAATTTGTCCAGTGTCAGCTGACTCGGTTCAGGCAGAGTTTGAGCTGAGGTGTTCTGGCTCCAGAGCTGACACTTGACCTCCATGCCACGTGAGCTCACGACATAGCACAGGCTTTTCAGATGGTCTTGCGCTTGAGCATTTGGCCCTCTGGGTCCTCTGCCCCTGTTCTCACTGGACCTTTGTTCTCTTTTTACTCTGGTCACTACTTTAATGTTGGCTCATCAGGCATCTCGTGACCCTTTCTTCTTACTCTTAAATACTCTCCAAGGTTAATCCATACATTCTTAGACCTTCAATTATGTGCTTCCTAGTTAGGTTCCAGCTGAATATTATTTGACTAACCTATAACAAAAACTTAAAGCTCATGTGTGTTGATTTTTCAGTTGGCATCTGGCACCATCCTGAATATGGTATATGCGATGTTTCACCTGATCCTCACAGCAGTTCTACAAGGCAGCCTCTCTTTTTAGCTTTATTCTTTAGAAGAGAAAATGAAGGCTTATAGAATTTGAGTGCATTGCCAGGTGCCAGAAAGCTAATATTGAGTTCTTCTGGAACTCAATAAGTTTTTGTGTCTAGGGATTTTGTGGTCAGAGACCATGATCTTAATCATAATAGTCATATGACTTCCTACTTTTGTTTAGTGGACCTCAGGTAGAGATTTCGTTTAATCATAAACCTTGGTTTGTGACACATTGTTATCACTGATTTATGAATGACCTTGATTAATTGATATATTAATTACATTATTTATTTATTCATTCATTCCTTTTTGAAATAATACACTTAACATCACCAAACTCCAGAATGAGAATGTTACTCATACTTTGCTGTCTTAGTTTGGGCTGCTATAACAAGAATGCCACAGACTAGGGGGCTTAAACAACAGACATTTTTTTCTCACAGTTCTGGACGCTGGAAGTCCAAGATCAAGGTGCTGGCAGATTTGGTGTCTGATAAGGGTCTGCTTCCTGATGTGCAGAGGTGTGTCCTCACATGGCAGAGAGAAGCAGCAAGCTCTCTTGGTGTTTTCTTATAAGGACACTACTCCCCTCTTGGAGGATCCACTCTCAACAACCCCATCCTCATGCACTGCAGTTCCCTGATTACTGGGAGACTCTGCCTTTGTTCATTCTATTTCCTAAGGCTGAAATGGCCTTCCCACTTTCTTTATACAGCAACTTTACCTCTCCAGGAGGACTCAGCTCATAAGGCACCCTGTCTGGGAGCCTCCCTGACCTCTTCTGTCTCCCATCTAAGCTGCATTAGGTGCCCCTTCACTGGCCTCTTGTAGCACCTTGAGATGTTCTTGCTTTGAGCAAACTCACCATGTCCCATGTCATCATTACTCTACCCAACCCTCGTCTCCAGACAGTCTGTCCCCCATCAGTCCTGTCCCTCTGGGTTTCATCTCTAAAGGTTTCAAGAGTCCAAGACCAAAAAGAAAGAAGTTGCAAACCTGCGTTTCAGAGATTTGAAAAAACAGCAGGTGCAAGCCTCTATTTTCATCTTCTTGTTCTCAGTGAAGTGGTGATTTCATTTATTTTATGTTGCCATCTCTACTGAGCCCTTTTGTATATTATATTCCCTTCAGGTGAGAGCACAGAACCTGAGACCACAGAACCTAGTCCTTCTCACCTGGCCTTGTCTGAGGACGTCTCACCCCAGGAACACCTGACTCAGCGAGCCCCAGGGGACTCCCAGGAGGGGCAAGGCAAGGATCAGGATGAGCTATTGGAAATTCTGGAAGGCCACTCCAGACCAGAGATAGACCTCCAGAGGGACATGCTCCCTGGGAAAATGAGCCCTGAACGTGATGGTTTAGGGACAGATGATGGTCTATACTCAAGGATTGTATGGGAGCGAGTCTCTCCAGATGTTATCTATGAACGTGACTCACACGGACCAGCAAAAGATCCCTCAATCCACGAAGAGAAACATCCCTATAAGTGTGAGGAATGCGGGAAAGTGTTTAACAAGAACTGCTTCCTTGTTCGACATGAGCAGATTCACACTGGAGTGAAGCCCTATGAATGCACAGAGTGTGGGAAAACTTTTAGCAAGAGCACACACCTTCTCCAGCACCACATGATCCACACTGGGGAGAGGCCCTATGAGTGCATGGAGTGTGGGAAGGCCTTCAACCGCAGGTCACACCTCACCAGGCACCAGCGGATTCACACTGGAGAGAAGCCTTATATGTGCAGCGAATGTGGAAAGGCCTTTACCCATCGCTCCAATTTAGTCTTGCATAACAGAAGCCACACTGGTGAAAAACCCTTTGTGTGCAAAGAATGTGGGAAAGCCTTTCGAGATAAGACAGGTTTTCTTCGACACTACATCATCCACACGGGAGAAAAGCCCTTTGAGTGCTTGGAGTGTGGGAAGGCCTTCAACCGCAGGTCACACCTTACATGGCACCAGCAGATTCATAGCGGAGAGAGACCATTCGAATGCAACGAATGTGGGAAAGCCTTTTGTGACAGCACAGACTTGATACAACACTACGTCATTCACACCGGAGAGAAGCCATATAAGTGCCTTGAGTGTGGGAAGGCCTTCTATCGCAGGTCACACCTCAAGCAGCACCAGAGGAGTCATACTGGGGAGAAGCCCTATGAGTGCACTGAATGTGGAAAGGCCTTTACCCACTGCTCCACTTTTATCTTGCATAAAAGGGCCCACACTGGAGAAAAACCCTATGAATGCAAAGAATGTGGGAAAGCCTTTAGCAATCGGTCAGACCTCATTCGACACTTCAGCATCCACACTGAAGAGAAGCCGTATGAGTGCATGGAGTGTGGGAAGGCCTTCAACCGCAGGTCATACCTCACAAGACACCAGCGGATTCACAGTGGAGAGAAGCCCTATGAATGCATAGAGTGCGGCAAGGCCTTTTGCCAGAGGGCAAACCTCATTCGACATGCCATTATCCACACTGGGGAGAAGCCTTTTGTGTGCACTGAATGTGGAAAGGCCTTCACCTACTGCTACACTTTTATCTTGCATAAAAGGGCCCACATTGGAGAAAAACCTTTTGAGTGCAAAGAATGTGGGAAAGGCTTTAGCACTAGGAAAGACCTCATTCGGCACATCAGCATCCATGCTGGAGAGAAGCCCTTTGAGTGCATGGAGTGTGGGAAGGCCTTCAACCGCAGGTCAGGCCTCACAAGGCATCAGCGGATTCATAGTGGAGAGAAACCCTATGAATGCATGGAGTGCGGGAAATCCTTCTGCTGGAGCACAAGCCTCATTCGTCATTCCATCATCCACACTGGAGAGAAGCCCTATGAGTGTAGTGAGTGTGGAAAGTCCTTCAGTCGAAGCTCATCCCTCACTCAGCATCAGAGGGTTCATTCTGGGAGAAACCCTGTCAGTGTGGCAGAAGTGGGAAAACCCTTCCCAAATGGGCAATCCTCAGTCATCCTCTAAGAACTCCTACTGGGGAAAGACTTTGAATGTAACCACTGAGGAAAATCTTTTGCCAGAGGAAACATCTTACTCAGAATCTGATCATTCATACCAAAGAGAAACCCCTCGGTTTTCTTCTCTGTGAGAAGCCCTGTTGCAGGATATCAGTTGTCATCTGAAGAGTCATATTGGAAATTGACCCAGCCTAGAGTCTTATTCCACGTCTGAGATTCATCCAGGAGAGTAATCCAGTCTTTATTGTGCTCTTAGCAAAACCTTCAGCCACATCTTTCTCCTTAGTTTACACTGCAGTGTTATCTCAGGAATATTTAAACAAAGAAGGAGAAGACATGGAAGAGAAAAGAGAAAGAAATGCAAGCACAGCTTCTCTCAGACTTCTGTGACCAGCCTGTGGCAATTTGTCATCCCTTAGTTGATTCAGGGAGAGGGGAGTGTTGTTCAGAGACAAGGCCTTACACCCTTCATTTGTCTTGTATAGACATTCACTTCTGTCCATTGTCAGGACAGTCAGACAGTTGAGGGCAGGTCTGGAAACATTTTTTGAATGCCTTTGTTCTATAGCATTGTCTCAACCCTTGAGTGGCATAAGTCTTCATGAGAAATATGAGAAAATAACTTTAATATTTAAGGAGATAAAGATATACATATGAATGGGTCCATTATACCGCACACTTAAGACTGATATTTTTAAAAACATGTTTCTTCATGTATCTTTAACCACCCAACATTCATGCTTGATCTACTTATTTTTTTTCTTTATTTTTCTGTGGGGTGAGGATGACAGTGTGGCTAGGCAACCTTCCCAGATGAATCCTGATTCTCCCCTCTTATTATGGTTTCTGAGCTTCTTCAACCCTCTTTAGAGAGGTTTCTCCAACAGTTTTCTAGGGGTCGAATTAGAGCCAAAACAAAACACATAGCTAAAATAAGTTGAAGGATAGTGATAAACTCAGAAAAACAAACACACAGATCATTTTTAATGTTATAAAAGATGATGTGAAGATTCACTGTCAAGTAGAGCGACTAGAATTTAAGAGGTGAGGTGGGCATGTGTGCAGGCAATGTGTGCTGCATAGTTGTCACCATGGGCATAGTCCTGGTGTAGTGACTAAAGACTAGAACCTTTTATCAGGGTATTTTAGAATTCCTCCTTTGGTGTTTTTTGGAACTACATGTGATAGTATTCCCTCACGTTAAAAAATATACTCTAAGAAAGATGTAAAAATAATCCTGTATTCACTTTGAACCCTCCTCAGGGCCGCTTAAATGACCACGCATGTAGTTTCGTATTGCCATTGTAGGCCCGGTCATTTTTGTTGTGTTAATCCATAGCATTATCGTGAAGTCTCCTCTTCATCCTTTTCATGTCATGTCTCAGTAATCTTCAGCAAGCTGTAGGTCCTGAATATTTTCTCCTAAAAGTTTTATCGTTTAACCTTTACATTTAAAACTCTGCGTGTTGAGTTAAGTTTTGCCTTACCATGTGAGCTTTAGACTGAGTTTCTTTCCTTTTTTCCTGAGGATGTTTAGTTGTTCCAGCATATTTGTTAAACAGACTATCTTATCTCCACTGAATTGCCTTTACTACTTAGTCAAAAATCAGTTCAGCGTATTCATGTTGGTCTGTTTCCCCATATTATAGCCTTGATCTGTGTGTCTAAACTTCTGCCAGTACCACACTATCATGAATACTATAGCTATCACTAAGTCTTAAAATTGGGTAAAATGATTCCTCCCTCTTTATGTTTTTAAAAATTGCTTTAGCTTTCCATATCAGTTTTTTTCTTTGGCTTTCCATATAAATTTTATCATGGGCTTGTCTATATTTACAAGACATCTTGCTGTGATTTTGATATAAATGGCATTATTCCATGGATCATTTTGTTGAGATTTGGCATCTTTATTATGTTGAGTTTTCTAGTCCATGAATGAGGTATGTCTCTCCACTTGTTTAGATCCTCTTTGGTTTATTTCATTAGTGTTTTTTAATTTTTCAGCTTATAGATCCTGAACATATTTTGTTAGATTTTTGTCTTAGGTGCCTCTTTTTGGAGTCATGTGGGGGAGGATTTTTTCCCCCCTGAAAGATTGGCACCTGAGCTAACATCTGTTGCCAATCTTCTTTTTTTTCCTTCTTCTCCCCAAAACTCCTAGGACATAGTTGTGTATTCTAGTTGCAGGTCCTTCTGGTTGTGCTCTGTGGGACACTGCCTCAGCATGGCCTGATGAGCAGTGCCATGTCCGTACCCAGGATCCAGACCTGCGAAATCCTGGGCCGCCAAAGCACAGCATGCAAACTTAACCACTCAGCCACAGGGCCAACCTCATGAGTTTTTAATTTTATTTGGCACGTGGTCATTGCTGTTATAAGAGAAAGATAATTAATTTTTATGTGTTGTCCTTGTATTTTGTGACCTTACTGAACTCACTTATTCTGGGAGGGTTTTTGTGGTTTTTGTGAGGAAGTTTGGCCCTGAGCTAACATCTGTGCAAATCTTCCTCCATTTTCTATGTGGGTCATCACCACAGCGTGGCTTGATGAGTGAAGTGTAGGTCCGTGCCTGGGATCCGAACCTGGGCTACTGAAGCACAGTGTGCAAACCTAACCACTATGCCACTAGGCTGGCCCCCTCTAGCAGTTTTTTTTGTAGATTCCTTGGGATTTTCTTCATAAACAATAATATCAGCAGATAGCAAACATCTTATTTCTTTTTCCTAATTTGTATCCCTTTTATTTCCCTTTCCTATCTTTACAGTACGCTAGTACACTAGCTAGAACTTCCAGTACAATGTTGAATAGAAATGGTAAGAGGACACACTTACCTTGTTCTTAGTGTTGGGGAGAAAGCTTTCAGTGTTGACCATTAAATATGATGATAGCTGTGTGTTTTTATGTAGATCTTTTTATCCAGTTTGGAAAGTTTCTCTCCTAATTTGCTAAGAGCTTTCATTATGAATGGGTGTTGAGTTTTGTCAGATACTTTTTCTCCTTCAATTGTTGTGATTTCAGTAGCCTTTTGATGGGATGGATTGCTTTGACTGGTTTTTGAATGTCGAACCAGCCTTGGATCCCTGCAATATACCCCACCAGGTCACGAAATATAATTCTTTATATATATGTGTTGCACCATTTCATTTGCTAATATTTTGTGGAGGAATTTTGTGTCTAAAATCATGAGCGTGTTGGTCTTTAGTTTAATTTTTTTGTACTGATATTGGTGTCTGAGTAATAATGGCCTCCCAGAATGAACTAGGAAGTGTTCTTCCTCTCTCTCTTTTTTTTTTCTGAATGAGATCTTGTAGAATTGGTGTTATTTCATCTTTAAATGTTTGGTAGAATTCTCCAGTGAAACCATTTGGGCCTGGAGATTTCTCTTTTGGATGCTTTTAATTACAATTTATTTAATTTAATCAATATAGTACTATTCACAGTATCTGTTTCATATTGGGTGGGGGTTTTTTGTTTGTTTTTCCCTCCCCAAAGCCCCAGTACATAGTTGTATATCCTAGTTGCAAGTCATTCTAGTTCTTCTATGTGGAATGCTGCCACAGCATGGCTTGATGAGTGGTGCATAGGTCCACGTCCAGGATCTGAATTGGCAAACCCCATCTGCGGAAGCAGAGCATGTGACCTTAACCACTACACCACCAGACCGGCCCTTAGGTGGGTTTTGATAGATTGCCCTTCTGGAGGAATTACTCCATTTCATCTAGTTTTCTAACTAAATTCGTGGAATTGTTTGAAGTATTCTCTTATTCTTTTCGTGACAGGAGCATCTGGGGTTGTATCTCCTGTTTTATTCCTGATACTAGAAATGTATGTTCACTCTGTTTTTATATTTGTTAATCTTCTTAGATGTTTATCAGCTTTCTTGACTATTTCAAAGAAATCAGCTTTTTATATTATTGATTTTCTCTATTATTTTTCTGTTCTCAATTTCTTCTCTGATCCTTATTGTTTCCTTTCTTCTACTTGCTTTGGTTTTATTGTGCTCTGTGTAGTTTCTTGAGATGGTAGCTTAGATTTATTAATTTGAGACTTTTTCCCTATTTTAATGTATGCATTTAGTTCTATAAATTTCCCTCTTAGCACTGTTTGAGCTCCATCCCACAGATTTTCATATGTTTTAATTATGCTTTCATTCAGTTTAAATATATCTTGATTCAATTTGAGCCTTCTTGTGTGACCCAGAGATTATTTAGAAATGTGTTCTTTGATTTCCAAGTGTTTGGAATATTTCCTGTTGTCTTTCTGTTATTTATTTCTGGTTTCTCATGTGGTCTGAGTACATGCTCTGTGTGATTTCAGAACGTTTACATTTGTTAAGGTTTGTTTAATGATCCACAAACAAATGTCCTATAAACAACATTCTTGTAGAATGTTCCATGGGTGCTTGAAAGGATGTATATTCTGTTGTTGGGTGGCGTGTTCTATAAATGTCTGTGAGGTTCTGTTGGTCAATGGTGTTATTCAGGTTTTCTCTGCCATTGCTGATTTTCTTTCTAATGTTTCTGTCAATCACTGAAAGAGAAGCATTGAAATTCCAAACTGTAATTGTGGAATTGTCTATTTTTCCTTTTACTTCTATTACCTTTGTGTATTTGACTGTTTTCTTGTTTGGTGTATATACGTTTATGATTGCCATATTTTCTTGGTCATTGTATGTTTCCTTATCATGATGTAACTAACATCCCTCTTTGTCCCTGTTAATTTTCTTGGCTCTAAAGTATTCTTTATCTGATATTATAGCCACTTATGCATTTTTATTAATATTTGCATGGGTTATCTTTGTCCATCTCTTACTTTGCCCATCTCTTATTTTCAACCTACTTATATTGTCATATTTGAGGTCAATTTTTTGTAGATAGCATATAGAGGTGTCCTGCTCCCCCCACCTTTTGACAATATCTGTCTTTTAATTGGTATATTAGACCATTTATATTTATAGTAGTCATTGCCATATTGGGACTAAATATGCCATTTTTCTTTTACTTTTTAATTTTTCCTGTGTTCCTTGTTCCTATTTTACTGTTTTAGTGTGTGTGTGTTTAGGGGGAGGTGGTTCTTTGTCTTCTTTTAGGTACATGAACATTTTTTAGAATTCAATTTTGATTCATGTATGGTGTTTTGGGGTATATGTCTTTGTATGGGATTTCTTTTTTTTTTTTCAAGTGGTTACTCTAGGTTTTAAACTGTGCATGTATAACTTATCACAATCTACTGTCATCAACATCTTAGCAATTTGAGTGAAGTGTAGAAACTTTACTTCTATTAGGTCCCTTTGCACTCACTATTCTTTTTTTTTTTTTTTTTGAGGAGGATTGTCCCTGAGCTAGCTTCCTCTGCCAATCCTCTTCTTTTTGCTGAGGAAGATTGGCCCTGAGCTAATATCTGTGCCCATCTTCCTCTATTTTATATGTGGGACACCTGCCACAGCATGACTTGATAAGCTGTGCTAGGTCTGCACCTGGGATCCAAACTGGCGAACCCTGGGCCGCCGAAGCACAACATGCGAACTTAACTGCTACGCCACTGGGCCAGCCCCTCACTATTCTTTTAATACAGTTGTCTTGGGTGTTTACTCTTCATCTGTTAAGGTTATAATTTTTCATTCAACTGTCAAACATTTTTAAAAGCTTGTGAGAAGAAGGGTGGTCCATTTCCCTCTATTTCATTGTTCTTCCATCCTGAAGTTTCAAGCCGCGTTCTACTAACATTTCCTTTCTGTTTGGAAAACTTCCTGTAGCCATTTTTTCAGAGTTGCTCTGCTGGTAACATATGTTCTTTGTTTTCTTTCATCTGAGAATGTCTTTATTTCTTCATTCTTGAAGGAAATTTTGTGCATTGTACTGTTCATGGTTGACAGTCCTTTTTTCAAAGTGCTTGAGAAATGTTAGGCCGCTTCCTTCAGCCCTCCACGGACGGGTTCAGATGAGAGATCTGCCATTCAAAAACCATTGTTCCCCTACAGATAGCGTGTTATTTCTCTCTAGCTGCTTTAAAAATATTTGTCTCTAGTTGTCAGAAATTTAATTATGTTGTGTCCTGGTTTAGAATTTTTTTTGTTTGTCATGTTTGGGGTTTGTTGAGGTTTTTGAATCTGTAGGTGTATGCCTGTTGCCAATTTTGGGAAATTTTCAGTCTTTGTTTCTTCCAGTATTATTTTTAGACTGACCCTCTATCTCCTTTCTTTCTGGGACTTCAGTAACATGAAGGTTAGATCTCTTTTTTTTTTCTTTTTTCTGTTTTATTGTCCCACAGGTCCCTGAGGCTCTGCTTTGGTTTGGTTTGGTTTGGTTTTTAATTTTTCCTGTCTGCTTTATGTCTGTTCAGATTGAGTAATTTCTGTTGACCTCTCTTTGGGGAGGGGAGCAAGGAGTGGAATACCAACTACTGTCATTGCTTCTGGGTGGGGTTGGAAGGTTAGCTCCCTCACCGGGCCTTCATGACACTATCCTGGAAGTGAAAGAGAACTGTTGTTACCTTGGACCACCTCCTTCTGCCCTGCTACTGGGTGAGGGTGAGAGTTTAGCTCTGCCACCCGTGGAAAGGGAAGGAACATGTGGGCTTCTCTGTTATGGTTGTCCAAATGTGGGGCAGAAGCAGGAGAGGAGGATTGAAAGCTAGAAACAATCCAACATCAAAAGTAGAGTCAGACTGTGATATTGTACATTTGGTTGGCTGGTTGAATTGGAAAGGCCCAAGCCTTGTTTACAGGTGGATGGATCACCTTGATATTTGGGGGGTAAGCTGCAAATGAGCTGATGCCGCATCACATCCCACCTAGAGGGGCCCTAAAGGACATTGGTGTGGAGAAATCCTCTTCATGGCCAGATCTTGGACAAGTACAATTGAGTGTCACTTTTGTTTTGGGAGAAGTGGCTCAAGTAAGGATATATGTGCCCTTTGTGGCAAATGGCTTGTCTGGTTGTTCAGAGGCACTGAAGAATCAAGATGGGCAGACGAGTGACAAGTTTGTATGGACCAGCGGCATGAGGTTCCTGGAGAGAGTGCAAAATGAGTGGATGTTTATGTCCCGCGTCAGTGCCTGCAAGAAGACCCCCGTTGCAGAGGAGAAGGGGAGGGGAGCAGAGGAGTTGAGACTGGCCAGGCTCAGTCCTCTGCATTCCCAGTCTTTGCACTCTAGGGATGTAGACACAGTAGCTATGGTGGCAGGAATGAAGGTTTTGAATGGGCCCAACAACATGGCATCCCACGTGCCACAACTGAAATAGCCACTTCCCTTTCTGAATGTCTAACCTGCCAGTTACAAAGACCAACACTGAGATCATGATACGATACAATCTCTAGGAGACCAAACTGCCACTTGGTGGTAGATTGTTTACGTCAGATCTGTTCCCTCCTGGAGGGGGCACTGACTCATCCTTACTGGGATTGATACTGTTTCTGCATGTGCTAGTAACTTCCCTGCCAACAGGGCCTCTAGACACCATTATAACAGTGTATTAACTACTTGATCCACCAGCACTGTTGCTGGCCATCACCCTGGAGATGAATCACTGTGTAGACACAAATGGCTTGAGGTCTTGCACGGGAGGTCTATAGCCAACACTGTTGAGATCTTGCTCCACATAACCCACTTTCCAGGTCTTATCAAAGGACCTCTAGGGGCTGGCCCCATGGCCGAGTGGTTAAGTCTGCGTGCTCCACTGCAGGCAGCCCACTGTTTTGTTGATTCAAATCCTGGGCGCGGACGTGGCACTGCTCATCAAACTACGCTGAGGCAGCGTCCCACATGCCACAACTAGAAGGACCCACAACGAAGAATATACAACTATGTACTAGGGGGCTTTGGGGAGAAAAAGGAAAAAAATAAAATCCAAAAAAAAAAAAAAAAGACCTCTAGCAGGGTGGAGCCAGCTTTGTCCTCGGCATCAACCTGCTCCCTGATGGAAATTGTACGGCCTTCCCCACCCCATCTCACCGCCCACTTCACTCCTGTCCATCCTGAGGTCACTTCTCAGGTAAACCCCCCATACCCCAGTAATCATCTCACAGTTTTCTGTCAAAATACCGGAAGTAAGAAATTCTATTGTCACATTTTCTTCCCATTAATCAGCTCCTCCGATTATCATTCTTCCCACTCCCACTTCTGTGGATTATTACTTCATACTACTTTCCTGAAAGATCTCCCTTTTTTGCCCCATTCTGTGGGACTTGCCATACGAGGCCCTAAACCTAGATTAGTCATAAGCCCCACATTTTCTGAGCTGATTCAGGCTGTTGGGGAATTCTCGAGAGAACTGAACCCCCATCTCCACCACCCCACAAACCTCTCCCTGCTCAGTCCCAAGTACTTTCGCTGATTTCAGCATCATTTGGCCTCCTCTCAGGGTTCCAGTTTTGTGTTTATAGCTTGAACATACTCAGTTGTGCTACCAAAGGAAAGGCCAAATACTTGCCCTGATCATCATGTCTTCTGATTGGTGTTCTTGAAGCAGCTCTTCTCGGCACAGGTAAAAGCCTAGATGCTCATAAAGTATCCATAAAGGATCCAGCTTCTCAGATGCCCACTATTTTCTGGCCTTGTCATCACCATCTGGAACTCCACTGCTCTTCACTGATTAAAGGAACTGGAGATGAAATTTTCTGTGTTAGTCTTCCAAAATTGTGGTAGCCCCTGGATACATTTGCCCAGGAACTCCATGCTGGCCCCTCACTGTGGCTCTCTACAACTTGCCCCTTGTGATAGTCATATTTTCAGCCTATAAAATATGTCACATGTCAGGTTATCTTCCCTCAGCCTGCCCCCCAACATTCTCACCTAGTGTAAAAGAAATTCAAAATTGTTGTTGCTTTCTTGCATGTTATCTTGACATTTCCTCCCTTGTTCTTTTGGAGAAAATGTAGGGGAGTATCTGAGGTGCATCGCTGAGTTACCTCAAACTTTAATTAAATATTCCTTGTGAATTGAAGTATAATTTGTATTCAAGTTTTTTGAAGTATAATTTGTATTCAATAATAATCTCTCTTTTAAGGGTATATTTTGGTGAATTTTGACACATATATATACAATTTTGTGACCACTACCACCATCGAGATGTGAAATATTTCCATCACCTCAAAATGTTCCGTCATGCAAACTCCTCTCCCAAAATTGTAGAGATTTTCTTTTTCTACATTTTTGCCTTTTTTAGAATGTGAAGTGAATGGAATCATTCAACATGTGGCCTTTTTTCCCCTGATATTTTCACTTGGTGTATTGGCTTTGAGATTCATTTGTGTTTTTCCTTGTTTCTTCCTTTCCTAGCTGAGTTCTGTTTTGTTTTCTGGATATGCTACATTTTGTTCCTTCATTAACCAGTTCATGGAAAACTTTTACAAGTTTTTGGCTTAGGTGAATAAAACTGCCATGAATATTTGCAACAGGTATTTAGATGGAGACATTTTAACTAGTCTCATGTAAATATTTAGGAGGAGAACTGTTGTGCCGTGCGTATATATATATTTCCCTATAGAGGAAACTGCAATTGTTTTCCAAAATGGCTGGATTAATTTGTATTGGCCACTACGATGCATGAGAGTTCCAGTTGTTTTGCATCCTCATCAGCACCTGGTATTTTCAGTCTTTTTAATTTTAGCAATTCTAGCAAATGTGTAGTTATCCTATTGTAGTTTTAAATGGCATTGCTGGAATGACTGATGGTATTGAGCATCTTTTCATGTGTTCATTAATCATATCTTTAGTTATTTATCCAAACCTTTGTGTTTTTGTTCTTAAGATTGAACTGGAAGAATTTGTTTTATTTTCTTCTTTTTTAATATTGTGGATGCTAGTCTTTTATCAGATATGTATTTTGAAAATAGTTTTTCTCAGTCATTGGCTTGTCTTTTTATTTTCTTAGTGATCTTTTGAAGAGTAGATGTTTTTAAAGATTTTATTTTTTTCCTTTTTCTCCCCAAAGCCCCCCGTACATAGTTGTATGTTCTTAGTTGTGGGTCCTTCTAGTTGTGGCATGTGGGACGCCGCCTCAGCGTGGCTTGATGAGCAGTGCCATGTCCACGCCCAGGATTCGAACCGACGAAACACTGGGCCGCCTGCAGCAGAGCGCGCGAACTTAACCACTCGGCCGCAGGGCTGGCCCCAAAGAGTAGATGTTTTTAATCCTGGTGTAACCCAAAATTTATTTTTCCTTTTATGTATTCTTTTGTGTACTATCTAACTAATTAGAGTTTGTCCAACCCATAGTTGCAAAGCTTTGATTTTCGCTTCCTCTAGGCATTTTATGGTTTTAGTTCTTATGTGGTGGTCCAGGACCCATCTTGAGTTAATGTTTATATATGATCTGAGATAAGGATCTTATATTATTTTTAAACATGCTATATTTTATAACCAAGCAAGTCACTTTGGGGGTATACCCATTAGAAATGAGTGCTTTCTTACACCAAAATACATACACACAAAGGTTGATAACAATTTCATAATAACCAAGAACTGGAAATAATGCAAATGACAGTCATCTATAAGCTGCTTACCTAAATTTTGAAAGTCATTAAATGGAAGAAAACAGATTAAACCTGCTGCTTTCAGGGCCGGCCCGGTGGCACAGCAGTTAAGTGCGCACATTCTGCTTTGGCGGCCCAGGGTTCCCTGGTTCGGATCCTGGGTTCAGACATGGCACCACTTGGCAAGCCATGCTGTGGTAGGCGTCCCACATATAAAGTAGAGGAAGGGCCGGCCCCGTGGCCGAGTGGTTAAGTTCATGCTCTCTGCTTTGGCAGCCCAGGGTTTCGCCAGTTCGAATCCTGGGCACAGACATGGCACCGCTCATTGGGCCACGCTAAGGCGGCATCCCACGTACCACAACTAGAAGGACCCACAACTAGAAATATACAACTATGTACTAGGGGGCTTTGGAGAGAAAAAGGAAAAGGAAAATCTTTAAAAAAATAAAGTAGAGGAAGATGGGCATGGATGTTAGCTCAGGGCCAGTCTTCCTCAGCAAAAAGAGGATTGGCAGCAGATGTTAGCTCAGGGCTAATCTTCCTCAAAACAAAACAAAACAAAACAAAGCTGCTGCTTTCGTGCAACAACATGGATGAATTTCATAGAAAAAAGTACTTTGAGTGGCAGTGTATGTCAAACGCAAAGTAGTAAATACTCTAGAATTCTATAGAAAAGTTCATAACCAGGAAAACCTAATACATGGCAACAAAGGACACAATAATGGTCACATTTGTGCAGTATTAACTGAAGGGAGGCAGATCTGTGCCTGAGAAGCTACTGGGAATATTCTCTGTGCGGCGGGGGCTTACATGGGAAACAGGTGTAAGTAGTCTTCGAGCCCCGCTCTTGAGGTTTGTCCACTTAATCTCACTGAATTACACATGTATGAAAAAGGGAAAAAAGATTAATAAATTAATACTAGTGCACCCCCATTAAAAATTAGTACATAGCAGTCTTTGGGCACCCTGTGTGAGCCTCCAGATTGCAGATTCCGTCCTCCTCGCCTCCTCTTACTTTTCTTTGTAGGTTGACACCTTAAGTGTGTATCACTAATAGTAACTATTATATTTTGTTTGATTTTGAAATTTATGTGAATGGAATAATGCTTAATATATGCTTTTTAGTATTACCTGGATATATTATCCTGTGATTTTTAAAGCTTTTTGAGATGAACATAAACCTAATGATCATCCTTTACTTATAGTATGTATGTTAAAAGGTATTCCTTTACTGGTATTCTTTTTAATGGAATTCCTTAATTGCATCTCATGAGAGTATGTAGAGATATTATTATTTTTGGTAGGTTGTAAAGCAAAGCTTCAAATTGAATATCCTATAATAATTTATTTTTTTCTGTAATAATTTAAAAACAACAAAATTATGCCTTGAATAATAGAACTTGAGCACTTTAAACGACCACAGAGACCCCCTCAATGTAATGATGAGAAAACGGAGGTGCAGAGAAGTCAGACAATGAGCCCAAGCCCATACTCTTAAGGGCAGACCCTATCTGTGTCTGATAACTTGTTGGAGTTCTGTCCATTAGGCTCCTTATAAAGGCCTATCAGATCAGCACGGAGCTGTCAGTATTTTCAAAGAACATATCCTCCGGGTTTGATTGTCTTTGCTTCCCTCTCACATGGGACATTTAGTATTTTGTAGTTTAGTTTCCAAGCACATCTTTACGTTTTTTCAGGTATCTTCTGTTACTGATCTCTATCCTGAGTGCATTCTCTGTTTTATTTCATTCTATGCCAAGTTAAAGAGATTTTTTTATGGTCCTATATATTGTCGGTTTCATACACATTCAATTTGTGCTGAAAAGGAAACATACTGCAGTTGGTGTCTACACTTCTGCATGTGTCTATCGGGCCAGATTTTCCCATCTTGGTGTGTGCATCTACCTTAGCAATGTTATTCCTGCCTTTTAAAAATCAGTTACTGAGATAACATATTAAAATATGCCAGTTTGTTTATAGGTTTAACTATTCTTATAATAAAATTTTTTATGTAACTTGAAATGATGTTAAAAATTGTATACAAAATTGAAAGTATGTCTTCCTGCCTATGTTTCCTTCCTATTTTTCAGATACAAATATACATTTTTGTGTGTTTTTGTTTAAAATTATAAGGTATATATTTTCCAAACTTTTATTGCATCTCTTTCTGTAACATTATATCCTAGAAGTGTGACTTGCAAACTGAATATTGCTGGATATTTTTCAGCTCACCAAAATCTACTGATGACTAATTGAAACTTTTACTCCATGCTCATTTAGTGTGATAGCTGGTACATTTGGGTTAATATGCATCTTCCTATTTTGTGCTTATTTTTGCTTCAGTTCTATTTCTTGTACTTACTTTTAAAAATTGGTATAGATTATTTACATTCGAAACGTTGCTTTTAGTTGGGAATGTAGATACTCCTATTTTATTAATGTTTGAGCTAAAAATAACATGTCTTTAACTTAACGGAGTATAGAATTAATACCTTCACTCTCCTCTTGCACAAGATAAGGGGTATTATTGAGGATTGCATGAGAGGTGATTCTCTCACTCTGCTCGGCAGGAGACACTGTTGATGTTTTATGCAGGTAATGAAAATAATCCACAGACGCATCCTTCTCTTGGATCTTCCTTCCTTCTATTGCTGCAGACCTTTCACTGGGATCACTTTCCTTCGGACTTAAGTGAAAACTTTAGGATTCACTTTGTGTGGGTTAGTTTTCTACCACAGTTCTCATTTTTGGCCTCTTATAGTCTTATTTCATGCTCTTTCTTGACAAATGCACTTGTTCAGTACAGAATCTATGTGGTGGTCATTCCTCCAGCACCTTCAGTATGTCCTTCTGCTTTGTCCTTGACCCACTATATGTGGTGTGTGAGTAGATAGGATGTATTTTGTGTTGATAGTTTCCTGGTGTTAAGGAAAAGTATTTGAACATAATGCAAAGGACAAGACACCCTAGAGATTGTAACAGCGAGATGGGCTCAGTGATTAGATGGGATTTTGTGTTGTTGGAATAATAAAAGGGTGGCAGTGTAGAATACATAGGGGAAATAATGAAATATGTGGTGACCAAATTGGTAGATTGTGATGTAAACTGGCTGGATGCTTACCAATCCCATTTTCTCTTTCTGGATAACTGGGAGGACAGCATGTCCCAGCTTTCCTTACCTTTAATTTGGGACCATGTGAGATGTGGCCAATTGAATCACGCAGAAGTGATTGTGAAGTTGTGTCTTGTTACTGCATTGTTCACCATTCCGGGGATGGCCCCACTGGTTCTAGATTTCACACCTCACCAGGATTTAGTGCTCCCTCAGGGCTGCAGGCTCAAGTGATGGGCTGATGGTGATGGTGTTTCGATGAGGACAGGACCTGAGGATCTGAAGCCTCTGAGCTTCAGGCTGGGCCATCTTGTGATCATCTATTTACATCTGGGCCCAGCTGCCCTGCGGGTCAGAAAGGGAGGACAGGAGGAGAGAGAGATCCTGATTACTTGAACTAGACGACATGTCATCTTATGTCACAAACTTTAAACCATGTCATGTCTACTCTCCACTTAGGCCTGAGGGCAGTTACTCCTGATGTTCCCAAGGTCTGAATCCTGTAGGCTGCAATACTGCATCTCTTGGGCAACATGCCTACCTGTAGTTTAAGAAAACCTCCTGCTGCGCTGTTTAAAAAAATAACTAAATAAGCCAAATGGTGCATATAAATGGGTGCTTTTATGTGAAACAATTAATACGAGTCATATTTTTGATAAATGATGCCAAGGATCTTGCAAAGAGGCATCTCCAACATAGCCTCCCACACAGTGTAAGTGAAGGCATTGTGATGTTAATGATAACGACAGTGATGATAATAGCTCTTACTTACTGAGTACTAACTATCTAATAGGCATTTCATGTAAATTCCCATGATGGACTTAGTATTTCCCATTCTAGTCACAGAAGAGCCATGGTTCTCAAACTTGAGTGAGCTGCAGAAGGATTCCTTAAAGCACAGAGTGCTGAGCCCCCCGCAGTTGGATTCTCTAGGCCTGAGAGGGTCCACAAAGCTTGCATTCCTAGCAGGTTCCCAGGTCCCGCGGATGCACGCCTCCTGAGGGCGGGACCTTGCCCCCGCGCCCACGGAAATGTGAGCTCTTTTCTGTAAGAGGAAGCGAAGCGCCGCCCCGGTGCCTGGAAATCTGGAGCGTTATTTCCTGGTCGGTTCTAGCGGAGCCGCTTGGCCGTTGCCGTGGAGAAGGGAAGGGGTGCAGGCGCGTGCGCACAGGTGGCGCCCAAACTACACTACCCAGGAGGTGGTGCTCCGCGCTTCCGCCCGAGCGGGTGGCCAATGACGGCCCAGGAGGCGCATTTCCTGCGGTGTTGGGCGGGGCTTCCGCTATCGCTGCAGCGGGACATCCTTCCGGGAGCGGTGGCTGGTTGGACCACGACCACGTGGACTGGAGCGCCGCGCGGTGGCCGCTTCTGTGCGGCCGAGCTGGGAAAGAGAGTGACGTGGCGGAGGCCACCGCCGCGCCTGGTGCAAGCCGTGCCCCCTGGCCCCCGCTCCATTCCCCTGGGACTGTGCCCCCGACTGTGGGACAGCTCCCCTCGCGCCTCGTGTCTGCCAGGCGCCGCCGGGACCGCGCGTTCGCCCAGGCCTCAGCTCCTGCGCTCCGTCGCTGCGGCCCCGAAGGCGGCGGCCTGCGCCCTGTGAGCCTTCGGCACCATTTTCTAGCCGGGCTGCGAGCGCAACACGCAGCCAGAGACGACCCCGCCCAGGCTGAGCCCTCGGGACCCGCCCTGGTCGCCCGCCTCTCAGGGTTCCGCTCAGCCCTCCAGGTCCCGGGCCGTTGGCGGAGGCGGCAGCACCGATGAATCCGGCGCAGGTGAGTGGAGGGTCGCCCAGGGCCTCACCCTCTCCCACTGTCATGGCTAGCACTCCTCGTTAGAGCTGATGGTGGCGTCCTGGGACTCCACGTTTCCTTCTCCCGGCTCTTGGTCGTGCAGTTCCTGGAGGGGAGTCATCCAGGGTCCTGAGTCCAGGCCGAGGATTATATAGATAGTTTCCCGTTACTGGCAACCGATGGAATACCGTTCAGAAGGGTGTCCCAGTCTGGGGAATGGGCATGTGCAAATACTTGGAGGTGAGACTGAGTCGGGAGTGATCAGAATCTCATTGTGTCGTATGGGAACAGAGAGCAGCTGGGCAGAAGTCAGGCCTGGAACAGCAGTCTGAGGAGCTAGGCCTCCCTTTTGAAGTTTGGAGCAGAGAAGGGAGGTGATTTAACAGATTTCATTCAACAGGTCCCCTCAGCCTGCACAGTGGAGACTGTGGAAGCGACGGAGGTGGCAGGGAAACCAGGGAGGAGTGTGAACTGTGAGCCTTAAGGCCCTAGTAGTGGGGCTTGTGGGAGAAGGCTGAGCCTAGGTTTGTGTCTGGGAGGCATGGTCTAGGTGACAGGAAGAGAACTGGCCAGCAGGAGAGTGTATGGTGCCTTTCATGCCTGACCTGTAGCTTACATAGTATCTGTCTGCCCAGCCGCCTGGATCTGCTCTGGGCTGGAAGATGATCAGGGACATGAAGTGAGAGCAGGCACTAATGGTGCCAAGTGTGGTATCTCCTGTGAATTGGGAGCCTGGGGGAGAGAGGGACCAGGGAGTGGTTGTGTGAGCAGCTTGACCTGGGGAGAGAGATGCTGCCTGTCCCCTCAACTGTCCTCATCGTGGCAGGGCTGTGTGACCTTCGAGGATGTGTTCGTGTATTTCTCCCGGGAGGAGTGGGAGCTCCTTGAGGAGGCTCAGAGACTCCTGTACCGTGATGTGATGCTGGAGAACTTTGCACTTGTGTCCTCACTGGGTAAGTCTCTGTTTTAGGTATCTATTGCTAGACAGTAAATTACCCCAAAGTTTAGTGAGTTGAAAAGACAAATGTTTATTATCTCACAGTTTCTGTGGGTCAAGAATCGGGCATATCCTGCTTGGGTACCTCTCGCTAAAGGTCTTTTATGACCTTGCTGTCAGGATGTCCGGGGCTAGCTGTCTCATCTGAAGGCTCAGCAGGGGTGACTCCTTTCAAGGTCATGCACATGAGCAGGAGGCTGTTGGACTAATTAATCATTTCCTTGCTGTTTCTTGGCCAGAGCCCACCCTCAGTTTCTTGCCAAGCTGTCTTCTCCATAAGCAGGTCACAATAAGGCAGCTGATTTCCATGATCAAGAGTAAGAGACAGCATCTGAGATAGAAGCCGGGATTTTTATAACCTCTTCTCAGAAGTTCCATCCCATAATCTTTGCCATATTCTGTTCATTAAAAGAGTTTTTAGGTCCAGCCCACACTCAGCTAGGGAACATAACAACAGCATGGATCCCCGGGGTGGGTGTGATTCCCAGTCTCCTGGGCTGGGTTTTGTTCTTCCCCTTTTCCCAAGGGGCACCTGTCTCAGCCTCACAGTTCTATCATGGCATACCTCCTTTTCTTGGTTCCCTGGAGTGGGTACTTTGGGTACCAGGGCTGGGCAGCGTGAACTACCTCTGCTCCCAGAGCAGCCCCAACCACTACCCCTTAAAGCCTTGAAATGAAGGATTTGGTGGTCAGGAGTCTTGCAGTCTGTCTAACAGATCCCAGATGGCCCTGCCACTTCTAGGCTGGGTGACTGTCCAAATCCCTGAAGTTTCCAGAAATTGCAGACACTGACATGGTCACTGCTTGTGGAGAACACTGAGTTGTTCCTGCAAGACCCTCTTCCAAGATTCTTTGTTTAATATTTAATTTTCTTCTCTGTAGAAGGGGTCTCCCTGGGTCACTGCTGGCCACTCACCAGCTCTTCTTTCACCATAGGGCTTGCAGTGTCCAGGTCTCATGTAGTTACCCAAATGGGGCTGGAGGGGAGCCCAGGGTGCCTCAGAAGGTAGACACAGCCTCAGCCACAGCAAAGAAGACCTGGACGAGGCCTGGTGAGTGGAAACTTTGGAAGCAGTCACATCGGTGCTGGCTTCACATTACACCAGTAACTTGTCCTGTGTTTACTGATGTTGTGGGGCCAAGCCCAGAAGCTAGTATCATCCCACTTGTCTTTCCGCATTTTTAGTGTTTTGCTCACTTGTCATTTCCACTCTGATCTAGGTTCCTGTTAGTCCCCCACCCTTCTAGTCTCTCCAGCTTATGTCTTATTTTCTGCATCGTCCATGCAGGTCTCTACAATATTGGCTTTCATTTAACGTGTCATGAGACACATGTGTATCCTTAAATTTTCCTTGAACACTGACTATTGCATCCAGGCAGGTTTTTCTGCCCTGGACAGACCCTTTTGCACAGCACTCACGTGTGACAAGGAACCAAGGCCTTGGCAGGAAACAGTTGGTGGAGGAGTGATTTGGAGACTGTGCTCCTCCTCCTTACACTGTACCCTGTCCTTGTCCCTTCTGCCCTCTGACGTCTCCTCCATTCCATGACCTTTCGAGGCCCGCAGTACACAGCAGCCCTTCCTCGTGCTGAGTCTAGCTCCCTTATTCTGCCAAAAGTGCCACGGGCTAATCCCTGGTCGTATCAGACACACATTGGTTATGGGATGCCATTTGCCACCAGTTAGACACTCGCTTCACCGGCATTTATCTTCCATCAGCTTGTTGGCAGGAGTGGAGGATGAGGATCCACCTTCTGAGCAGGGTCTTTCTGTGGGTGTGTCACAGACAAGAACTCCCAGGGTGGGTCCTTCCACCCAGATGGCTCAGCCCTGTGGCATGTGCAGCCTGGTCTTGAAAGACACTTTTGCACCTGGCTGAGCCACAGGGACACCATGTGGCAGCACCCGTACACCACCGTATGAATGATTTGGAGAGACTTCTGGTTCAGTGTAAACCTTGACCAGGTGCAGAAGCAGCAGAGTGGAGAGAAATTCCTCAGAAGGGAGAAGGGCCAGGCCTCGTTGCAGAGCTCCATTGAAGGCCACATGAAGAGCTACACACCCACGTGTCAGAGAAGGCCTTCACTCACAGGGTGGGTCCCAAGAGCTTCCTGGTTGACTCTGGATTTGTCCAGCACCAGGCCCCTCACAGTGGGGAGAAGCCACACAGAGCACTGAGTGTGGGGAGGCCTTTCTGTGCTGGCGTCACTGACGGGCCCTTTTGTGTAGCGGATTCTGTTAGGCGAGAAAGTACAACCTGAGACCATAAAGCCTCCCACCTCTCAGCTGCCCTTATTGGAAGGAGCCTCGTTCCAGGGGCAGTTCACTCACAGTCTCAAGGGACTCCTGGTCGGGGTGAGCCAGGGAACAAAGAGGGCCAGATGCAGGAAGGGCGCTTGAGCCCAGGACAGTTTCCCACAAGTTATCCCACAAGGAGAGTCTCCCCGGGAAGACGCGCTCTGAACGCAGTGGTGTGGGGACAGGTGATAACCCCTACTCGAGATGGTCATAGTAGCGAGGCTCCAGGGGATGCTTTTCGTGAACAGAACTCCCATGGACCAGGTGCAGCTTCCATGGTCCATGCAGGGAAGAATCTCCACAAGTGGAAGGAATGCGGGCAAGGGTTGAGCAAACGTTGGCTTGTTGTTCGACATCAGCAGACTGGGCTGACGTGAAGCCCTGTGACGGCAGTGCACGTGAGAAAGGCTTTGTCAAGCAGGCGGACCTCAGTCAACATGTGAGGATTTACACTCGGCAAAGCCATATGAGTGCCTCCAGTGTGGGAAGGCCTTCAACCACGTCAGACCTCATGCAGCACCAGCATATTGACACTGGGGAGAAGCCTCAGGAATGCAAAGAACATGGGAAAGTCTCCTGTGACAGCTCTGCTTTTGTCCAAAATAATATTTCCCACTCTAGAGAAAGTCTCTTCGAGTGCAAAACATGTGGGTAAGCCTGTTGTGACAGTGTTTTTTTCACTCATCATGTGAGGGTTCTCACGGGAGAGAAGCTCTGAGTGGAAAGGCCTTTATTCACCCTTTCTTCTTTTTCTGGCATAGCAGGATCCATGCTGGAGAAAAACCTTTAGAGTGTAAAGAACATCAGAGGGGCTGGCCCCGTGGCCGAGTGGTTATGTTTGCGTGCTCCACTTCGGCGGCCTGGGGTTTCACCGGTTCGGATCCTGGGCGCAGACGTGGCACTGTTCATCAGGTCACATTGAGGTGGCATCCCACATGCCACAACTAGAAGGACCCACAACTAAAATATACAACTATGTACTGGCGGGATTCGGGGAGAAAAATCAGAAAAAAAAAAAAAAGATGATTGGCAACAGTTGTTAGCTCAGGTGCCAATCTTTAAAAAAAAAGAATTTCAGAAAGCGTTTTGTGAGTGCTCTTCCCTAACTCCTCAATGCCTGAGGAGTCACACTGGGAAGAAACCCAGCAAATATAGTGCATGGACAGGCCTTCAGCCTTCATCCGTGCCTCACCCAGCCTTGGAGTCTTCATACTTCATACTCGGGGTCTCGTACGCTTCACAGTGTTGGAGATGTGGGGAAGCCTTTTGCAAGTGGACTTATCTCAGTCAGCATCAGAGAACTCATACTGGGGAAAGACCTTTTGAATGTAACTCCTGAGGAAAATCTTTTAGCTGTAGGAAACATCTTACTCGGCACCTGAGAAATTATACCAAAGAGAGACCCCATATGTGTCATCGCTGTGAGAAAACCTTCTGGGACAGATCATCATTTATTGTCATTTAAAGCGTCATATTGGAAATTGACAGCCTAGGACCTCGCTGTACATCCAAAACTTCCTAAGGGAGAGGAAACCAGTGGCTATTGTGCAATTACAAATTCAGCTATAGCTCCTCCCTTAGCATGCAGTGAAAAGCAGTCACAGGGATAGTAAAGAAAAAGGCATAAGGGAGGAGGAAGACAAGGAGTAGATGTAGCAGAAAAAGAACTGCATTCAGGGCCTCTTTCAGGTGGCCCTGAGAAACCCATGACAATTTGTTATCAGTTGTTTGTTGTTGGGTGGCAGGAGAGGAGCAGTGTAGGACCTCGTGCCCTCCACCTGACTTGACACACAACCTCTGCCACCCCGTGTCAGGAGAGCTGGACACTTGACAGCAGCTCTGCAAACATTTATTGAAATCCTTCTTTGTAATAAAACATTGTCTTGACCATTGAGGAGCATAAGTCTGTGATAAATGTGAATGTGAAGCCCTGATTTATGAAGCACTTAACAGCAATTAGAATACTAAAAATATTGCCTAAAATTATACCTAAGGAGCTACGGGTGCCCATGAAAGGGTATGTTCTACTGTACCACTTAAGACCATTTAAGGCTTCCATTTTTATTTTATTATTTATTCACTCTGGTTTTTTAAATTGAGTTATAATTGATAAATAACATTGTGTCGGTTTAAGCTTTACACCATATTGGTTTGATACATTTATATTCGCTATGACTGCCATTGTAGCCTTAGCCAATACATCTATTGTGTCGCAGAATTATCATTTCTTCTAGTGGTGGGAACACTTAAGATCTAGTCTCTTAGCAAGTTTAATGTTTGTAATACAGTTTTGTTGTCAGTAATTCCTAGACTATGTATTAGATCTCCAGAACGTATTTATTTACTAGTTGCCAGTACATACCCTTAAACCACACCTCTCCCATTCCCCTACCCCCGAGCCTTTGGTAACCCCCGTTCTACTCACTTTTCTTTCAAGTTCAGTTTTTTATTTTTTTCTTTTTAGATTCCACATGCAAGTGAGATCATACGGTATTTGCCTTTCTTTGTCTTGACTTACCTCCCTTAGCGTAATGTCCTCAGAGTCCATCCATGTTGTTACAAATGGCAGGGTTTCCTCTTTTCTCACAGCTGAATAGTATTCCATTGTATATATGTATACATTTCTTTTATCCATTCATTTGTTGATGGACGCTTAGGTTGTTTCACTATCTTGGCTATTGTGAATAATGCCACAATAAACATAAGTGCATATATCTTCGATATCCTGTTTTCATTTCCTTTGGCCATTTACTCCAAAGTAGGATTGCTGAATCATATGATAGTTATATTTTTAATTTTTTTAGGAACCGTCATACTGTTCTCCAAAGTGGCTGGACCGGTTTACATTCCCACCAATAGTACACATTTCTCCACATTCTCTTTTCTTCACATTCCCTTTTCTTCAGATTCTCACCAACACTTGTTATCTCTTGCCTTTTTGATGATAGCCATTCTGACAGGTGTGAGGTGATATCTCATTGTGGTTTTGATTTTCATTTCCCTGATGATTAGTGATATCGAGCACCTTTTCATGTACCTGTTGGCCATTGGTATGTCTTCTTTGGAAAAAGGTCTGTATAGTTCATCTGCCCATTTTTTTTTCTTTAATGTATGCTTTTTGGTGAGAAAGATTGCCCCTGAGCTAACATCTTTTGCCAATTTTCCTCTTTTCTTTTTCTCCCCCAGGCCCCAGCACATAGGTGTATATCATAGTTGTAGGTCATTCTAGTTCCTCTATGTGGGATGCCACCACAACATGGCTTGAGGAGCGGTGGTAGGTCCACGCCCAGGATCCTAACCAGTGAACCCTGGGCTGACCAAGCGGAGTGCACGAACTTCACCACTTGGCCATCGGGCCAGCCTCTCCTCTGCCCATGTTTTAATTGGATTTTTTTTTATTGAGTTGTACAAGTTCTTTGTAAATTTTGGATATTAACCCCTTATCTGATACATGGTGTGCAAATATTCTCTCCCGTGCCATAGGTTACCTTTTTATTTTGTTAATTGTATCCTTTGCTGTGCAGAAGCTTTTCAGTTTGATGTCCCACTTGATGCTTTTTTCTTTTGTTGTTTGTGCTTTTGGTGTAATATCCAAAAAATAGTTGCCAATACCAGTGTCACAGAGCTTCTTCACTAAGTTTTTTTCTAGGCATTCTGTGGTATCAGGTCTTATGTTTAAGACTTTGATTTTCAAGTTAATTTTCGTGAGCGGTATAAGATAGGGCTCCAATTTCATTTTTCTGCGTGGGTTATCCAATTTTCCCAGCACTGCTTGTTGAAGAGACTATCCTTTCCCCATTGGATATTCTTGGCTCCCTTGTCCAATATTAGTTGACCGGATATGTAGGGATTTAATTCTGGGCTCTCTCTTCTCTTCCTTGGTCTCTATTTTTATGCCGCTACCGTACTGGTTTCATTACCATAGCTTTGTAGTATGAAATCAGGAAGTGTGATGCTTCTGGTTTTACTCTTCTTTCTCATGACTGCTTTGGCGATTTAGGGGTCTTTTGTTGTTCCATACAAATTTACGACTGTTTTTTCTATTCCTGTGAAAAATGCCGTTGGAATTTTGATAGGGATTGTGTTGAATCTCTAGATGGCTTTGGGTAGTATGGACATATTAACGATATTAATTCTTGATCCATGAACACAAGATATCTTTCCACTTATTTGTGTCTTCAGTTTCTTTCAGCAAAGTCTTATAGTTTTCATTGTACAGATCTTTCACCTCTGGTTAAGTTTATTCCTAGGTCTTTTGTTGTTTTGGATGCTACTTTGAATGGGATAGTTTCATTTCTTTTTCAGATGCTTCATTGTTAGTGTGTAGAAATGCAACTGATTTTGTGTGTATTGATTTTATATCCTGCAACTTCACTGAAGTCATTGATTAGATCCAATGGTTTTTTAGTTTAAGTCATTGGGATTTTTCAATATATAAGGTCATATCTGCAAATAATGACAATTTTACTTTTTTCTTTCCAATTTGATGCCTTTTCTTTCTTTGTCTTATGTGATTGCTCTGGCTAGGACTT